GGGAAAGAGAAAGGAAGATTAAATGGAGAGGGGAGGTTGCCTTTCCAATAGGGGAACCTCAGTCTTGCCATCCTTGCTAAGCAGGGGGAATCTGCACCTCCACCCCCTGCAAACCCCTAGCAAACGTGCTACCAGGAAAGAGCCTGAGATCATGTCAAACTGACTGCAATGAGTACTTAAGAGAGAAGCTCTCTCCTTTCAGCCTTAGTTCTTACCGAGTGTGGAAATTCCATTCAATCCAGGTTTAGTAACTGGCTTCCTTCCAGTGGAAGTCCAAGCAGGTGGGAATTGACTTGTGAAAGGGCAGGTCAATCTCCTGGGAGCCCCTGAAGTCACATCACTGTCTTGCCTTTACTCCAGCCCCTGTCCACCCCTCCTATGAGGGCCTCCATCACCTCAGCTGAGAATGGGACAAAGCAGTGGCCCCGCAGTGAGTCCTGACACTTGTAGTTTTCACGAGGCTGCTCAGCTCTGAACTGGGCCACTTCCATCCACAAGGGGGCCCCAATCTGAGATCTGGGTGCCCAGGGAGACTGAGGGGCTGGAGCTGAGGTCAATGGCCCAGGGCAGAGCCTACCTGAACAAGAGCCGAACCAGCAAATGGGGGGTGGGGGGAGATGAAGGCTGAGTCCCCGGCTCCCTTCGCTGGCTTCCGGGTGTGGAAGGTGGCCTAAGAGTGAAGACTCTGATGTTCTCATGCCCCGAGGGCATCGATGCCAGCAGGGCTCAGCACCAGAGCCTGAAGGATGTCGGAGAGGGACACCACACCCAGGAGGTGCTGGGTCTCATCCACGAGCACCAGCCGGTGCACCTGTGGGTCCACAGAGGCTCAGTGAGGGGGGCAGCGCCATGTGGCTACAGCAGCCAACGAGGTTGGCACTGAGAATTAGGGGCAAACAATTTAACATAACTGTGGGGGCAAGAGAGTGCCTCCTAGGAACCAGTTAGCGGTGGCTCTGCCTGCCCTAGGGTGGTCAGCTGGCTGCGGCCCTTGGCCCGAGGGCCCCAATGACAGGACCAGTCGCTGGCCAGTGTGGACACCAAGAGCTTGGCCATGAGATGGGAGGACAGGGCAGGTGCCCGATGGATATGGCTAGCTGAAGCTGCTCATGAGAAGGTCTGGGCCCCATGTGTTGGGAGCATGTACGAAGGGGTGTGGGTACCTGCTCCTGGACAATCCGGTCGATGACTTCCCCCAAGGTCTCGTGGGGCTGGCAGGAAACGACTTTCTCCAGACACAGTGTCCTCTGCCTCAGTGCTTCTCCCACACTCACATCCAGGTGGTTGTATGTTTGTTGGGCTGCCAGGTGCTGGGCAGGAGAGAGAACCGCTC